GTCTGCGCGCGATGTAGCCATGTCGCAAGCCGGCTATATGATTGTCCTCGACCTTTACTTGGGCACTTGCTATTTTACAAATGCTCCAAAGATGATGTCTTAAGTAGGAAACTATCTAAAAGCTAAACCGCAATACCAAAGCGAGAGTGGCACGATGTCGGCCACCAAGATCGAATCACCGCGTACTGGGACATGCGGAGTTAAGATCAATATAGTTTGATGGTTTGCCGGTGTCGACGATTTCCTAAGGAATTGCCGCGAGGACTCGCCTATAAATCGGGACTGTGGGGGAGAGTGGGACGTCGGCGATTCAACACCTGTCGTCTTTGGCCTTACCAGACATTCGGACTGCTATTTTTACCCAAAAGGGTTCAGCCCATCAATATTTCATCAGCTATGCCTAGTCTCTCTGATATTATCTACCGGCACGGAAGACAACTAACTCAGAAGTCAAAAATGACTATTTCTAGTCATATTTCTAGTCGAAAATTGTAGTCATGAGAGACCCGAAAACGTGGGATCAAGCTAGCGGGCCCGGACTGTTACGATTACCCAAACTGGTCAAGCCGTGGACGGCGAACGATTCCTTGCAGGTCGCCCATCGTCGGTTCTTGTAAGCCATTGGCCATGACAGAGTCGTGCTTATCGGCATTGGTTCCAGTTTATGTCCTTTAGACCGGGGCTGATTGAACACGGCTGCACGACTAAGAGGCGACGAGGCTCCCGCAAGTTCGGGTCTGCTATCATTCCCTAGGTACCTAGGAAAGCCTAGGTAGGTAGGTTCTAATACCAGAGGTAGAAAGCCGTCCTCTTCCCTTAGTTCCAGAGGCGACTCATCTAAACAAGCTAGAATATGAGGCAACTGATTCATGCTACAAACACAAGCTCGACAGGCCACACGGGAACCAACACATAGCCATAATAGAGCATCACGCTCATGTGCCTCGCCCTGAGATGCTATAACGTAAAGGGTTTCTCGTTCGTCTGTGGGGCCCCAAGATATGTTTACCCCGGCTTGGAGAAAGCGACGCTATCTACACTGGGACAAGATACCCGCAGATTAGCAGAGCTACACCTGATAAGGGGAGGAGGGCTTCATAGAAGCATTCGCAATATAGGTCGAGTACAAGGTATTTATCTAGAAGGAGACCTTACACATTCTTGCTCAGTACCCTCAACCCTCAGCTCGGTTCATCTATTTCATTAGGACACGTACGCCACTCTAGGTCGTGAGAATTACGCAGGCAGATATCGGCATCATGTCCAAGTTCGACACCGCGCCTCCCAATACCCATGCCGGAGGCAACGACGATGCGCTCCGGGGGCAGGGCTCGCTGCCGATGAACCCGACCAACGATGCCGACGAGATGGTCGACATGGAGACGTATAGACGAGATGTCCCACTGTGGAAGCGAATCTACCAGCACAGTTTAACACAGATGATGCTGCTGAGCGTGCAAGCATTCTGCGGGCCAGCCATGGCAGACGCGATAGCTGGTCTCGGCGGTGGTGGTCTAGCCACGCCTCAAACGTCCAACATAGCGTACGTCGTCGAAATACGGGGCTGGAAGTACCTCGAAAAGTGAATTTCTAGCGAGCTAACTCTTTAACAGGACTGCTGTCAACTATGCTACGCTGGCAGTCGTCTGCCTGTTCGGTGGCCCGATCGTTAATAAACTCGGCACAAAATGGGCGCTCGTCCTTGGTGCCATGACATTCCCTATCCGCGGCTCGTCCTATTATTGCAACAGCAAGTTCGGGACTCAATGGGTGAGTACTCCGGGTGGAAAGCTGACATCTCGCTCCGTTGACAGCGCCTGAGGACTTCTAACGCTGATGCCTCGTAGTATTTGATCTTCGGCGGCTTCTTCACCGGCATCGGCACCGGTTGTTGGTATGTCGCCGAGTCTGGGTCGATCATGTCCCTGGCTCCATCCGGGGCTCGCGGCAAGTATTTGGCCCTGTGGATCGTTTCCAGAAACCTCGGACAGCTAGTAGGGGGCGCAATAAAGTAAGTGATTGCAGTGGTACATCGATGAGAAAGGGGACGAGAGATTAACAGCCTTCTCTTTTCTCGCAGCCTATCTAAGAACCACGAAAAGGGGGTCGTTGGCGGAGTCACGCCGGACACTTATGTGGCATTCTTGATTATCGAAAGCCTGGCCTTGCCGTTCGCCTTCCTTATATCTCCTCTCGAACGCGTTGTACGATCTGACGGGACGCGTATCCTTGTATCGGAGAAGCTCTCCTCCAAGCAAGAATTCAAGCTCATCAGACCTACCTGGTCTTCCAAGCTGATTCTGCTCTCTGCTCTCTGGGCCATTTGGTCCTTCTTCTACAGCGGTAGCTGGTCTACGTATCTGGGAGTATACTTCTCTGTCCGTGCTCGTGCCCTCTCTTCGCTTATCTCGCCCTTCTTCTGTATGTGAGTAGCTCCTCCTTCCATCCGTCCAGGTATGTCGTCCTCAACCGAGACAGTGTCGGGTGCTTCGGCCTCGGGTTTATTCTCGACATCAAGTCTCTTAGCCAGCGCCGTCGCGCACAGCTCGGCCTGTTTACCGTCGCGATTCTTAACCTAGGCGTGTACATCTGGTCCATCGTCATGCAAGTCAAGTTCAACAACGCAAACCCCGGCAAGATTGATTGGGATGAGTCGCTTTACGCCTCGTCCTTCCTGCCATATTTCTTCGTCCAGACAACAGGTCCCTTGTCGCAATCCTATATGTACTGGCTTCTGTCCTCGTTCGCGACCGATGCGCAATCTAATGTTAGAAATGGCGCCGCTTTTCGGTATGTTCATGGAAGCGAAGATGCGTCCGTATTCCGGTATAGGAGGTAGCTAACATGTTTCCCAGATGTCTTGAGGCCGTTGGCCAAGCCATTTCGTATGGCATGAACACTCAGATCACGGCCGACCCTTTAATCGGATTGTACGTGTCTGATATCATGCAAGTCGGTTAGCAGCAAGCTAACAACCATTTCTAGCTGCGTGACGTTTGCTCTCATGGCGGCTGCTTTAGGTCCGATGTTGGTCCTGGTCAACGCGACGCCAGATCGCATACCAGCCGACGTGATTCTCGAGGGACAAGAGGAAGAACAGGAGAAGAAGATGGAAGGACTTAAGGCTGAGGCATAGTCCAGTGATAATAGGAGGACGTCGGTGGGAAGCGATGCCGAGCGGTGGTCCAAAAAAGGTATAGAATAAAACAATGAAGATTAAGACAATTTCGTACATTAACTTGAACTCGGCGGCGGGGATGGTAAACGCAACGCAATATCTGTCGGCCACGGCTGCTTTGCTCTATCGCTCTTCGTAGCGTGTCGTAACGTGTCATGCCGTGATCGTACTCATAAGGGAGGACCAAACACGTCTCCGTCGGTGGTAACCTTTCGTCTCTTAGATTCGCGCTCTTGGTTGTTTCCATTTCCAAATACCTTCTCATCCCCATTGCTGGGTCTGTCTTTTGGCTTCTGATTCTGCGATGCCTGCTCTCGCCGTGCCTTCTGTAGAGCCACCATGTCGACCCGGTCAGGATCCCGGCACTTGGTGAGCTTCTTCCGCAATACCTTGATGGCTTTGGTGCTCTCCGTCTATGCACAGATGTTAGCTTGCAGAAGGGGGGAGGGAGAGGGAGTGAGGGAGAAAAGCATGTTGCGGTGCACTCACGTCGTTCCAATAAGTCGACATCTTCTCCGGGGGCTCTTTCTCCAGCATGGCCTTGCAGTTCCCTATTACGGCCCATATCTTGTCCTTAAGCTCTTCGCCTTGGCCGGTAAATGCTTCTTGCATCATGTGTCGCACCAAACCCTCGTCGGCTATGGCCATGGCTGCGTACATGATCTGGCTTGGGGTGTAGTGGAAGTAGGCGTCGGTAACTAAGGGGCTAAACTTCAAGATCTCTCTCGTCCTCTTGTGCGCGCGGCCGATCCTGTCGTCGCCAAAGTCGCCAGTTCTTCTGAGCTCCATGACGGCTCCTTCCAGGGCGCGGAAGGGATGTCGCACATCAAAAGCGAAACGGATGCCCTGGCACAGCACGTACTCGGCGGCCAAGATCATCTCGCCCGTGGTGTTGGGGAAAGTGTCGGCAATCTTCTGTACCCGCATGAACGAACCTTCCGCCTTACAGCCAAAGAATAGGCAGGTCTTCATAAGTTCCTGCGGTGGATAGGTCATAACGCTGTTGGTAACATAGAAGCGCCGCAGGAAGATGGCAGCGGTAGCTTGGATATCAGTGGGGAGTTGGCAGTAGGGAGCAGCACGTAGCAGCTCGAGGGTGAAGTGGTTGAGGATCTGGTATTCTTCGGCGGGCGTGAGGAAGTCGGGAAGAGGGTCGACGGGAGTATCTGAAGCGCGCATGCGGTTGGAGATGTGAGTTCGCGCCAGGGTGTTGGTCTTGTCGCGAAGAGTAGAAAGGTGAGAGGGAGTAAAAGACCAAAGCCGGTACTGGCTGGACTGCTTGTAACGGGCGTCCTCGGTAGCCATGATGAGAGCTGCGGCCAGTCGAGTCAGTCAAGAACAGGTTGGCGCACGACAAGTCGAGAGATGCGCGAGAGGGCGTGTGCCTAGGTAGTGTTCGATATGCGCAGATACCTTGGCTGATGAGCGATCTTCAAGGTCGGTTCATGTCTACCTTAGGTGTCTTGATCGAAGTAACGGCTGTGTAATTTGTTGACTGTTTGCTATTTGCCGCTTGCTTTATGGTGGAAGTCCGAAAGTCATGTAGATGTAGGTATGGATATGTGAGTAGAGAGGTTCGAAGGAACGAAAGGAAGACGTAGCCGACAAAGCTGTCTGAGCTTAGCGTACTGTTATCGCATGCTTTGCACTGTACTAGCCTATTGCAGCTCACTACAGGTAGGTACCTCAGTAAATAATTGATTAACCAGAGAGGAGTATGCAGATAATCCGTGCTCAAGAGTGGGCGGAAAAGTTGCAAAAGTTCAAATTAATTTCCCGACCTTGTGAGAAAGTCAGATAAATCGTCAGAAAAAGCAAAAGAAGGACCGAGCGTGGATCGAACACGCGACCTTGGGATAGTGATTCCAAACTGCAATCCTACACTCTACCACTGAGCTATCGGTCCAACTTAAGATTTTCATTGGTTAATCATGCTTGTATAGTGTTATCCTTCCTAGAATAACAGTTGACTCGAACCGAAAATGCTCACGCGTCCGTGGAAATCACTCCGCTCGAACAGCAGTCGAGTATGAACCAAGTTCGAGTTTGTGGTTCGACACGAGCTCAACACCATTAACCCTAGGAATCTTTCTAGTCTGAGATAGTCTCTCAAATATCCACAGCCCGAAGTTAACGGCGATGACGAGGCGCTAGCTGAATAGCACTTCACTTAGTGGATCACACAGCGCCGGTACTCAGGTAGCAAGGTTCAAATATTCAGTGATGAAAGGGGTAGTCCCGTCTATTTAGTATAGGATACGTCGTATCTACCAAGGGTGTATGTATGCGTGCACATATGTGCCTTTCAAGACATCGCCAAACCCGATAGACTCGCGATGAGAGAGACAACAAGCGACGAAGGGATGCCACTTATGGACTCGGCACCGCTTTGATCTGAATCCGCAGTACTGGCACCGGCACCGGCACCAGTACCGTTATCGCCCGCGCTGCCTTGTACAGTGGCGATACGACCCTCGAGCTGGAAGTCGATCGGGCTCGTCTGGTTCTGTATGTAGTCGGATAATACGTCGGCTACAGTATCTAGTGCACTGACGTCGCCAACCGAGACTACGATGTTGTCGCCTCCACCTGCGACGTAGTCGACCGTCACCACCCTGTACTCGGCCGCCTGGTCGACAGGCTTGTTGTCGATCGTTAAACGCACCAGCCGCGAGCCGACCGCGTTGTCCGGGTTATACTCAACCTTGATACCGCGGCTGACTTGAGCGATACTGTCAATCTTTTCCTGGTTAAACTGATTCGTGCCGCTGACAAGACCCTCGAAGATCTTCCACAGGTCGGCGCCGCTCCATGTCACCTCGACCGCGGCGTTGCCGAACGGAAATGAAGTCAGGACTTGTCCGCGAGTGATGTTCCCTACGTCTATAGAGGCACGGATACCACCCCCGTTGATAAACGCAAAGGCCGGGTCGCTGCCGGCATCCACTCGGTACTGCAGGAGCGCGCTGGGCTCATATTTCAGTACATTGACACGATTGGAATAAGGGTTGGGTTAGAGACTACTTACTCCGAGACCAAGTCACCTAACGTGCATTCTCGCGTCTTGCAATCGGAATGGTCCAGCAAGACGTTGGTAGTGCCGATTTGCTCGGCAGCATATTTCTCGAACGGAACTCTCCACTCGTCGATCTGCGCCTGGAGACCTTTATCCTGTGCTGTAGTGTTCGTCATGTGAATAGGAGCTCCGTGATAGGCAAGAATCTTGCCCTCGGCATCGTACGTGACGTCGATATAGCCCAGGTATTCGCCCCATCGGTAGGCGGTAACGATGAACACCTCATCGCCGTCCTTGTTTGTCTCGATTGTGGGGTACTTTCCTTCGGCACCCGGCATGTCGCCGAGGAGGGTGTGGCTGTGGCCGCCCACGATGAGATGAAGACCAGTCGTCTCCTGAGCTAGACGCTTGTCCTCCTCATATCCAATATGGGTGAGTGCCACGACGCGCGTAATGTTGGTCGTGCTGCGAATCTCGTCAATGGAGGCCTGTATGGCGGCCGTGCTGTTGATAAACGTGGTGCCATTACCAGGATTGCTGATCCGAGCTGTCGACTCAGTCGTAGCGCCTATGACGGCAAGCTGGTACTTCTCAAAGATTTGGTAGGGCTTGATGGTCGAATTTAGGACCTTGTTGGTCGAAACAACGTTGGAGGAGACGACGGGAAAGGTCAGGTTTTGTATAAAATCGCCCAGCTGCTCGTCGCCACGATCGAATTCGTGGTTTCCAAGGGTCATGACGTCGACGCCCAACTGGTTGAGCGTATCGGCGATTTTCTCTCCGCCGTAGTATGTGAAAAACAGTGTCCCTTGCCATTCATCGCCTGCATTAAGCCATAAGCTGTCTTGATGCTCCGGTCGCGTGCTCTCGACGGCGGTCTTAATACGAGCATATCCGCCATAGCATCCTTTTTCGGGTTCCGTGCAATCGGCTCCCGAGGCAGCGAACTGGTCCAAGTGTGCATGAACATCGTTCACGTGGTAGAACGAGATGTTGTAGTTGCCATCGTCGTCGATGAAGCGCTTCGAGAGGCGCTTCGAGTACAGCGAGTCCGGGACCGAGGCCGAGGCCGAGGTTGAGCCAAGGAAGCCAGCGACGGCGAAGTAGAGGAAACTGAGAGTCGCTGTTTGACGCATGATGGGACTGCTCGATCAGTTGCTCAACTGCGCATCTAGATGGCTCACAAGACCTCGGGCAGGTTCTGTCAGCGGCCTGGGAAACCGACAGCTCTATGTATGTTAGGCGATGATCACGTAGCCTTTTAACAGCAGTTCAACGACTACAACCCTGGAGCTGAGCGCATGTCGTTACCTTTCCTGGACTCGTTACCTACCTAATACGTCCATGATCTGCTTGGGGCCGGAGCGTTGGTGCTTTGTGATGGATGATAGCACAGTTCGTATGCATGTCAGACTCCCCCCAGCGAGCCCTTGCGCGATACGGTGCGGCACAGTCTGACAGTTGCCGCCGAGCCTGCGAGAGCCGAGCGGAAATGCTGGACGTTACGGCGATAACACTAAGATCTGGCCGCCTAGACCGATAAGCTAGCTCGGCCAGGTACGCGAGAGATCTGGTCTTGGCGGTGAGATGTCGAGAAGAGAAGCTCATTGGCACGTGGGACAGGTGGGAGCAGACGTGTGCTTGGCGTCTTCAGAGGCCCTTGCTTTCCGTGCTTCGGCGTCCCCATTTGATCGTCTCGGTAAGGCAACGGCTATCCCCACGTAGGCTGTTTGCCCCGTCTACCTGCTTAGCTCTCCCTACCTAGGTAGCTACCTGATATATAAGTGAGCAAGTAGATCATATGTGCTGGACAGTCCGAATGCCTACTGCTGTATACATGTAACGCGACGAGATAGCGGTTGGCCGTGTATGCTTAGAGGTGCCGTGTTCTCGTATTCGAAGGATCAATAGTTGGAAGGAACAGCAATCACAATCACCGTCAAGTGCCTTTTGGCCATATCAACATTCCTAGTTGCATGGTGTGAAATGATAGCAGTAAGATAGGCTGGCGTCAGACTACCTGAGTGCCGACGAAATCACTCAATTCCTTGCGTCCTTCGCATGAAAGCTGTCCATCTGCCATTCTGTCATCCTTCCCGCAAGTTGATTGCTAGGGTGGGAAGGCTTCTTCGAGTTCGACGAGTCTGAATTTCCGTCCCCTTACGTTGTCATGGCTCTCTTCCGCGGCAATGTACCAACCTACCTACCCCTAGGACGTACCTGGTAAGGGAGTCGTCGCAAAACGATCACTGACCGGTAGAAGACGCCGTGTCACTGCTTGTTGGCATCTGAAATGCTCGTATACTGTAAATGTACTAGCTGCCCGAGTGCCGATGAGAAAATAATTGTGATGTGGACAGGTCGGGTCACTCTTGAGCAACACGCAACTAGAGCTGTTGCATACGACACCTACCCCGAGGTAGGTTCTAGGGATGGAAATATATATGTAGGCTGCTAGACATGGAGCAAAGGTGCTCTATCAGGAGAAAGAAGAAAGAAAGAAGAACAGAAATCTGCAGAGTTGACCTCTTGCGCGAAGACTCGCAGATGTGCTGCGGTACGATTCAGAGTGAACTCGGTACAGTTTAGAGCATACGTTATCACTATGTCATAAGAAGCTTTGATCGGATGAACAGCAGTGCGTGATCGACAGCTAAAGCGTCTTGACGCTGAAACAGTTTAGAGCCATGACAAGCGGTTTCGAACAAGAAGCAGCCGGCGCTGGGGCATTATGCTGGCCGGAGGTTTTATACAATGGCCTTGTTCTATGCGGTAGTTTTGATTCGTCGCTTTGCCGCGCGCCAGCGGACGCTCTCAGGGTGAAGGCGTGCTGGACTCGAAGACTTGTGTGTTGGACATCTCCCCTGGTGTTCAAGGAGCTCGAAGTGGGCGACAAAAATATGCAACTCTCTTCTCGGATAAACACTTTCAAATTTCCATCCAACAAGTCGGCAGCCTAACAGGACTGGTCAGCGCTGGCGACTCAGCGTGAGGATGGCGAGATGGTTAGATTATCTTGGACATACGATCGTATGGAAAACCAGTGACGACTATTCTCCCAATGGCATAACCCAGGCAATTCATTTCATAGTCGTAAGACGTAGGCAGACATATGTAATTAGACGTATGCATCTAAAAGGTTGGCTCGTTTTATTCATTTTATTCCCCGTTCGTCCAATGAGCTGGTGGACCGGGCTAGAGTCTGGAACGTCGTAGTGCAGCACGATAGCCGACTGGATATTGGGACGCGCCTATTGGAACGGGGGCAGAACGGGCAGAAAGGGGTACGAGAAGGCGCAGCAGTGGTTTGTGATACGAGTCGTTTGGACTCACAAACGGTCCTGGCAATTCACTGGATCCAGACTGAGTGCCATGCTCGCCATGCTCGCCACGGCCGCATGATTCGAGCGTTAGGGATGTTGGTGTTCAAATGACGCTGAACGAAAACAAATGGTTCGTTATCAGCTATCGTTCCTGGCGGCAGAGGATTTCAGGGTCCTGCATTTCTAGGTGCCTTGCAGCTGTATGTAATGTGGTATCGATACGCCCGGCGGACATGCAGCGAATCAATTGTCGATAGAACCCTGGGAACAATTTATAGCGTACTTGGCACTCACTTGGCTACCTATAGGTACATACGCATAATCTCTTTATTCTTGCCTTTTTATGTCAAGCTCTTTGCATTTCCGTGTTAACCGCCCTAGACACGTGTACCTTGGTCTGTTTTTTATGTCGAGTATCTATTTTTATTATGTTTATATCTGAATAGTGAATATGCAGAAAGCTGGGGCGGCAGGGCGGTTGGCGGGTGAGAAAGCGGGCAGGGGAAAAGGGGGGGGGGGGGTTGAAAGCTCCCCAGCATTTATGCGCTCAGAGGCAGAGGTACGTAA